CATAATTTGACTCTTTTCAATATGTATTTTTCCACACACTTAGCCTTTACGGCCTAACTTTAGTATCACTATCACACACTGCACAGATACATAACCAAATATACTTCCCTTAGGAACCCTTTGTCATGAAATCTTAACACAACGTTGAAGCATGCCTTGTCATGTCAACATCACTTATCAATCATAATCATCATTGCATAACAAAGTACGAAGTGCTTAGCCTCTGTGCCTAAGTTACCCAAATACTTTCATCATTGAGTCAACCATTGAGATAGCCTAGGATGGATTAATCCTTGCACCTTGAGAGATAGTATCAAACAACATTTGACTAAGCTCATTCAACATGCATCCGAAAACTTCGATTCTTTTTTCGCGTCTTTCTTTTTCGGGAGAAAGTCGGTACCCTCCACAAAAATGACGAATTTTTTTTGCTTTTTTTCATTTTCAAGTCGCACGATCACATTATAATGCATGCACGAGTCATGTACACGTTGAGTCATGTCGTGTCATATCACCTTAATTTGAGTCTAACACATGTGTCAAGCACTTCGAGTCGAGTCAACCTCGAGTCAGTCAATCATAGTGAGTCAAGTTTATACCTTGAGTCATGTTAAGTCAATGAGTTGAGTCAACACTAAGTCTTAGGTCAACCCTAAAGAAATATAAGCAAAGTCCTATGGTCAAAGATATAAATGCAGGTGCATCCCAGCAAGCGAGGACATTCCCGGATTTTTTTTTCGAAAAAACCGCAAATATGCCACATGAGATTCCTCCAAGATAAGAGGAGTTACATAGATCAGTAAATTAGAGATGAAGAGCTTTAATTTACAAAAGATTTGAGCGGATTTGGATTAAAGGAAACGACCAAGCTCAAAGTTCAGAGCAAAACCAAGCAACAGCGGCAGCAAGAGCAGAGTAGGGAAGACCCGACTCCAGCACCAGGCGACAAGGCTGTCGTCTGGAAACAACATCTGGCGTCTGGCAACAAAGTTCAGCGCCTGGCACTAGATCCCAGCGTCTGGTGACAGAGCCAAGTCTTGGCGCCAGAGATATTTCAGCAGCAACACATCTCGAAGCCTCTCAGAATGGTTATTTCGACCACATACAGCAATTTCGGGTTCCTTGGTACGCCAGTTAGCCCCTATAAGCAAATTGAAATGATTAGTAGTCGGCTCGATTACAATCGTAGTAAGTGATTGACCTGACAAAAAATCGTCTCACTTAGCTTAAGCGCCTAAAACACTGGCTCATTACAAGCACCAACGTATCGGTTTAAAAGCAAGCACTTAAACGACAATATTTCCGAATATGGATTTTCGCGCATTCTACTTAAACGACAATATTTCCAAATATGGATTGTCGCGCATTCTTCTTGAACGACAATTTTTCCAAAATTGGATTGTCATCCCCAACTGAAAAAATTTCCAATATGGATTGTCGTGCATCTTCTTCAATGACAATTTTTCCAAGATTGGATTGTCATCTCTGGAAAAGTTTCCAAGCGTGGATTGTCGTGCTCCTTCTTTGTTTGGAAAGTTTTTCCAAGTTCGGATTGTCATACATTCATGGATCTTTGGCAAGTTTTCCGAGATTGAATTGTCATACACCCAGTTCCCTATGGCAAAATTTCCCAAAGGATTTTTGTAGGACTCTATTCATCATAAATTTTGGCAAAGGTTCTTCAACGTGGATTGTCATTCATTTCAATAAGTGGCAAATTTTCCCGAAGTGGATTGTCGGTCGACTCTTTTTTGCAAATGTTCCAAGACGCGGATTGTCAATTATGGCAATATTTTCCTAAAAGGATTGTCGCATAGCGTTGGCAAGTTTCCAAGGTGGATTGCTTTCAAGAGTTATATTCCAAGATGTGGATTGTCGATCGTAGAAAAATTCTTATGACAAATTGTTACGAAGCATTGACAACTTTTCCCAAAAATTGGATTTTGGCAAATTTTGCGAGATACGGATTGTCGCTTCATCGTGGAAACATTTCCAAGAATGGATTGTTACGAAGCATTGACAACTTTCCCTAAATAGGATTGTCATACATCATACAAGAGTTGTGTTGGCAACTATTCCCAAATAAAAGAGGACTGTCATCACAACAAAAGCACCGACATACTGGTTCACAAGCAGCAAAGCGCCGACGTACTGACATAACAACATTAAGGATCAACAAGCAGTGATCTTTTTGAAGACTATCACGGCGGAAATTGGAGGCAGTTACAGGCGTAGCAGTCTTCAGGCGCTATTCTCTAGCTTGCGGAAGATCGTCACAACAAATCGGTTACTTCTAGAGACGTGTGCTCGACGGTGCAAGATACGTGTTTCTTAACTCTTTTATCTGTTTAACTAATGCTAGTTTGCAGGTATCGGCGTTACAAGAATGATTTAGGATCGCAGAACGTTCTGAATCAGTCTCCGTCCCTATCGATACTTTGTCTTTCATTTTCGAAACTTGCATTTCTCCAAACTCAGTCAAAGTGGGGGCTTCTGTAGACACCCAAATGTGTCTCCCCAAAACCAAACTCGGTGATGAATACCTTTCATATCATTTGATTATCGAACGAAGTTAAAGTGTGAAAAGTCTAGTAATGAGGATGTTTTTATTAAAATATCTCTTCTTTTTGTTTTTGAAAATATTTCTTTTCTTACCCTATTTTTGAAAAACGTGCATTCCAGTTTATTTTGGTCCATGATATGGGTCCAATAATAGTGTAGTTGGATGTGGTTTGAAAAGACCTTTCCAACGATATATTATAAGCCCAATTCCGATGAATAATGAGGAAGTTATGGTCAAAATACTAATTGGGCTCGAACTGGATCTTACCTACGGCCCAATGATCATGTGGAGGGTCCAACAGTCTAATCCTATTCCTAAACTAATTAAGGTTAATTAGAAGCTTCTATAAGTTTCTAAAAGATCTTAATTATCCTTTTTGAAAAGATAAGATTAAAGAATTTGAGTTAAATAAAAACTTTCCTTTTTTAAAACTTTCCTTTTCTTAAATCCTAATTCTATTCGAATTTAAAGATATTCAAAGAAAGTCAGATTTTATTTTCTTGCCTCATAATCTTTATCCAAATTTTATATGGTTGGATAGATCTTGAAATTATCTTTCCAATAATATATTATAATATTAAATCCGAGCTATAACGAAAAAGATCTTAATGAGATACAAAACTCTATCCAAAACTGACACCATCCTACTATTTTGGCCATATCTTTTTATCTACAAAATATTTTAATTTGATTCTAATTGGGTTGGAAATTATACTTCAAGATCTTTCCAACGACATATTATATGCCTTATTTGGACTTCTAGATCAAAAGATATGATAAAAACAAAATCCGCAAAAACTGATGTCCATCGAGTTCTATTTCGATTCGAATTCGGATTATTTTCTTATTCTCCGACTCTCTTTTTTTCTCTATAAATAGAGGTCATATCTCCCCTTTTTCAATAATCAATTCTCATCAAATATCACCAACTCTCATCAAGAATTTCTTGATTCTCTCTCTCTTTCTAAGCCTAGCCTTTTACAAACACAATTTCTCATACATTAGCACTTGACACACCTAGCCAAGTTCGAAGTTGCCTTCGCCCTAAACGTGAAAGGTTTTAATATTTCTGAGGGTTTGGACCCAAATCTTTATTTCAATTATTTAATTTAATTGTTTGTTTTATTATTTTCCTTGAAGTTACTAATGTGTGTATTTTGTTATTAGAAAGAGATACGAGGCATCTAAGTAAGTGCTTTAATTGATTTATTTATTTGATGATATAGAAATCATGCTTAGATTGTTATTTTGATTCCTAGTATCATGTTTAGGATGTTCCTAGTATCATGTTAGGATGCTTTCTTTAGTGTGATATTTAGGGTTATTTGCTTATATCAATCATGATTCCTGCAATGCCTTTTATTTTATTTCCTAATATCATGTTAGTATCATGTTAGGGTTATAGCTTTGATCTTTGATGTTTAGTGACATGCTAGGGTTTGTTATTAATCTTTTAGTATCATCCCTAGAATCTTGCTATTATCATGCTTTAACATGATTTATGATTATAATTTTATGATTATTATTATTATTATTATGATTATTATGATTGTGATTATTATGATCATGATTATGATTATAATTATTATTATTGTTATAATTTTTTATTATTATTATGTTGCTTGATTATAATTATTGTTATTGCTTGATCACACCTTTTATGCATGTTTAAAGGGAATTTGTACTTGTAATCACGCTTAATAAGATAATTAATAATCTTGTTTAGGGTTAATTTGATTATAACTCAAGTGATCTCCAATAATAGTTTATTTGTGCATTTATATTCAACCAACATAGATAAACAGGTTTAGGGTTAAACATATTGATTGCATGTTAGTCAGAAAGCGCACATGAATACGATCAGAATAAAGTAGAGGCCTATTATTAGGGCAGGTTCAATATCTTTTAGGTTGGATTTGTACCTTCATCCCCGAACTACCAGTCATCGTTCCAGACCTATTGGAGTTGACGATCTCCTGGATCGTTAAGGGGTGTAACCTTCACCTCGTGAACGGTTTACAAGTTCCTAAAACTTGTTGGCGACTCTTTTGCTCTATCTTCTTTCCCTTTGGACGCCACCGTACTTTAGTGTATGATCACAGTGGGGTTCAAACTAGGGATTAACTCTTGAAATATTCCCTACAGGTGTACACTGTATTCTTTGACTTACATAATTGAGATGATTGATTGATGTGGATGGAAGATATTATTTTACAACAAAAAAAATATTGAGAGAGGTTTCCTTAAATTTTTTATATGAATAACAAAATCACAAACTCTTAATAACATCCGATTTACACTAAATTAGTGTAAATCGGGCTGGCTGGGCAACTTCATCACCGAGAAAAACACCCACCACCGTCGCCACTGGCTGGGATGGCTGAGTATCTATCATTTCACCTCATCTACTTTAATGGTGGCAAACATGGCGGCGGCGGAGGTGGCGATGACTATGGCGGCGGAGGTGACAATGACGACAGCGTTGAAGGGGAAAATATGAGGACTTGCAGTTGGTAACAGAGAGGGAGAAGGGGGTTGAGGATTTGATGGAGGAGAGAGAATTGAAGGTTTGTTAATGGTGGAAATGTTTAGTTTTGAGGAGAGATAAAGATACGGGATGAAAGTAGAGCCATTGGGTTAACTTTTTCATTTTGTGTTTATTTTTTTTTTTATTTTGATACTCGTTTTTGTGTAAAAAAAGGGTTACTTTTGTGAAAAAAAAGTCACTTTTTGTAATACAAAGGGTTACTTTTGTGAAAAAGGGTCAGTTTTGTAAAGAAAAGGGTCACTTTTAAATAGAAAAAGGATCACTTTTTGCAAAAATGTTCGATGTACAATAAAATTATTGTAAACCGGGGCATGCAAAAGGAGGTGTAACAAAATTTATTAAATTTTTTTTTTTTAAACTTATTTTCATAACTATTCCGAACTAAAAATTTATTCAGTTAATTTTTTTTTTCCTTCAACTGAAAATTATAAAACTCTGAAATAAATAAAGGGGCGGTCCTTGTTTTTCAAAATTAAATAAAATAAAATAAATATAAGAATATTGGGAGGAATGTATTTCAGGTTATTACAAAGTCTTCCAGAAAATTGAATTGCAGAATCATTCTTTCATAGGTAAATCAATGATTTTTTTTTTCCTAAAAAAAAAAAAAAAAAAAAAAATGTTGATCAATGAATTTTGATGATTTCTTACATATTCATATTTATTTGATCACTTTTTACATACCCAGTTTAATGAATGATTTTGTTTTCAGATTTGGGGGTTGTTTGAACTAATTGAACAACACAAATTTACTAAAATAAACTTGATCAAGATTTTGTACTTTGTTTCATTTTTTCAGAAAATAAATTTTAATAATTTAATCACTGATTTATGTTTTATTTTGCTATGAATTGAGGGTGTTGATGATCTATGGTTATAGATGTGATTTGTAAGTGATATTTGTCGGTGTAGAATATGGTTAACCCAGGGGAACCTATAAAACCGAGCTGGCAGCGGAAGCTTGACCATGACGAAAAAGTTCCTTCAGAGTTCGGGCTAAGCGTCAGGGAGTGTGTTCAATTGGTGTGTTATTCAATTTCTAGTGTGCAATTTAGTTTTGTAATTAGAATTTATCTGATTCGTTTTGAAACTTTTTTATTTATTTATTTTTTGCTGCAATTGGAGTTATTATAATTTGTATTTAAACTATGGAGTGGAATTGAGTTTGGCATCAGCGTCTGAGATTGTTTTATTAAGGAAATTCTTGAAGATTTACAACTAGATTTGATGCGTTTTTTGATTTGTTTGTTCTTAGTATTCAACAAGCTTCACTCGTTTGTTTAGACTAGCATTATGTTTAAATAGAGAGGAATGGAGAGAAAAGAAGAGAAGAGAAGAGTAGGGATAGAAGGAAATGGAAGGAAAATAAGGGAAAGAGAAAGGGAGGGGAATAAACTCTCTTGTTTGGGTAAAAGATTGGGGAAAGGAAGGGAAAGAGAGGGAGGATCCATTTTCCTTCTCTCTTTAATAAGCATAATCCCTCCAAAAATTGGAGAGATTTGGAGAGAAAATGGAGCTCACCTCCCCCTTCCCTTTTGTTTCCCTTTCCCCTTCATCTTTTTTCCCTCCCCTTTTTTTCCTTTCTTATTTTCTATCCAAACAAAGCGTAAGAGTTCTAAATCTGATTATTAAAGCTTAACTCACCTTATTCAGGGGTTTTTGAGGTTGGTTTGAACTAGCTTCACTCACTAATTAATTTAATGCCTCTTTGATCAGGTTTCACTCGCCTAATTTAAGGGTTTTTTATGCCTAACTTCACTCGTTAAACACTAATCTGAAAAATACGTCCAAACTAACAAAGAAATAAATCTAGTTCAATCAACAAACAATCTTATTGTTATTAGGGAAGACCATGCCTTTAAATTTTTCTTTTTTACCCCAATTTGTTACTTTGTGGCTATATTGGTTTCGAAATGGTTAGTGCTCTTAGATCTTTTAACCATTGTATTAATATTAGATTATGAGTGAGGTTTAACTTTTTCTTGATTTGCCCATCATTTATTTCACGTATCACCCTTTGCATAAATTATGGCAGGCCCCTATAGGTTATAGACTTTGGCGTCATGTTCGAGAAGAAGCTGGCAAAGGAAGGGTAATGTTTCCCTTGTTGAAAAGCTTAAGTAAAGATTTGATGATGCTCTTGTGTTCACATGTCCTTTTTTGTTAGTCTTTTAACTGAACCTTGTATTCTCAGGGGGCAATTATTGATCCTTTCTTCAAGCGTACTGTCACATCTGACCATGGAGTTCCTCTTGGAGGAATTGGGTAAATTTCTGATTTATTTTTCTACTAAATGCCATTATTGATGTACCATCATTTAATCTTTACTAGACCTGCAGTTAATTCTTGATTTTATTTTTTTTGGAATCTTGTCATTGCTTCCTTCTCATGTTGTGTTATTGTGTGACATATCTACTAATATTCATTTCCTAAGGCTGTACTCTTTTTCTATGCTGAATATTGAATTGCCAAGTTACCATCTTCTGCTCATGAAAGTAAATCATACTACCACAGCTGATTTTTCTTTTATTTGAGCAAATTTGTAGAGCTGGAAGCATAGGAAGAAGTTACAAAGGCGAGTTTCAGCGCTGGCAAATTTTTCCTAGAACATGTGAAGATAAACCTGTTTTGGCAAACCAATTTTCTGTAAGTGCTGACATCAATTTATCTGGTTTTGGTGAAGCACGTAACCGTAATTTTTTTAATGTAGAACATCTTAATCTCCTATCTGTCCATTTGGCAGTTGTTTTTAATGGAATTTGTTTTTTTGGTTAGCTGTTAGTAGGAGTTTCTAATCTATGTATATGCTGCAAAATTTGCCTTTCACGTTCACATCGAGTTTATGAAAATAAAGCTGTAATGCTACTGAACTATAAAACTGAATTAATTTGGCATCCAATGTTTTCACATTACTTCTTTATGATAAAGTAATACTTTGCATTTGTCTTAAAAAAAAAAGTAATACTTTGCATTTGTTAGTAGTGTGAAGCTAGTGTGGTGCAGAATATGCCTTTCATGTTCACATCGAGTTTGTGAAAATAAAGCTGTAATGCTACTGAACTGTAATACTGATTTAGTTTGGCATCCAATGTGGTCTTAATTCTTCTTTATGATAAAGTAATACATTGTATATGTTAGTGGTGTGTAGCTAGTATGGACTTATTGCCGTTGTAGGCTACATACATGCCAAATTTAGTGTTCATACGTAGTGTTGTTTAGCCAACAACTTTGCAAATTTATTTCTTAATTTATTTTTTTCGAATTTTATGGATCTTAGTTTTAGTTGTTTTTTTCGTTTTTTGAATCAACAATTCTTATTTATCAAAGAAAAAGATTTTCCCAATCAATTGAAATGTAACATAACTAGAGCAATTGATGTATAATCAATTAAATTTATCGCCCTTCCAAGACTCTATCATTGATTTTTGTGTTTTGATAAAAACAAGGAAATAAGCGAGAAAAAATGATTAAACTTGTCTCAACAATCATAGTGTATTAAGTGGACAGTGCTTTAATCGCTAATATGTCACAAAGTTTGGTTATAGATTAATTCACCACAAAGAATAAGGCTTTTTGTCCAAGGAACACTCACAAAGATGCAAATGGAGAGAGAAATTCTCATGTATTCATAATTCATTAAGTTAATACAAAACATATCTTTCCTTTTATAGGTGGCTACCATAACACTAAGCAATTTTTATTTAGAGCCCTTGGATTACAATCAAATGGTTAAGATCAACTTCATTATAAACAATGAATGTCGAAAATTTTCGTAATAAGGGATGTTTCCCGACCCTAGGACCAAGACAAACAACAAAACTTGAAATATACAGTGAAACCATAAAAAATTAGCTTTACCAAAGGTGAAGTCGTTCAATTATGTGGGCAAAGGATGAAGTATTTCCACACACACCAATCTTGAGGTCTCACCACTATTCCCTGACCTTCTTATGAACCCTTATTCAATTATTCCATGTTATAAATTAGGATAATCATCCAAATAGCTGTTTGGGCAGAAATAAACGTAGGAAACCAGGTCAAATATTCATATATAATCTATGCGTTTCTTGGATGCTATCACGTCAATAAACTAATGAACTGTGTTTGCTAATCAATTGAAACATTGCATTACCAAAGAAATTAATTTGTAACTGCGAGATATTCTGATGACAAGCTAGAATAATATTCTGATGACAATTTAGAATAAAGTCTTTTTATTTCCTGAATTATCCTATAGGCTTTCAATATGTTTTTTGTGCTAATTATAATCATGTTGCAGTTTTTAAATTATAAAAGATCTGCGTTATATTCAGTCTCCCATTAAACTGTACCAAATCATTTTCCTGGACATACTCTCGCTATCTAGCTCACCTTCTTCAAAATTTGTGCTATGGCTCTGAAGCTGTGTTGTTTGAGGAACAATAGCTATGTTTTAATGAATTCTTTATTATTAGCTTTTATATGTTGGAATGCTGGATAGACTACAATACTGCAACTCTCCCTTTTTGTAGGTTTTTGTTTCTCGTCCAAATGGTGAAAAATACTCTTCTGTGCTATGTCCGCCAAATCCTGAGATGCTCAAGTATGTATATTTCCATGTGTTACATTATTTATTTCTAATTCTGTAAAATTCTAGAAATTACTATTAATTGCATAGGGAATTAAGTACATAATGTCAATTTAATGTTGTGGCTGCAATTAAGATCACTTCTGGGCTGAAACAGGGGAACCACTGCAAGCGGTATTGGTAGTTGGGATTGGAATTTAAAAGGAAATTATTCTACTTATTATGCTCTGTATCCAAGGTCTTGGACTGTATATGATGGTAGTATTTGCTTGATCTTCAACTTTGTAGCTTTGATTAGAATTTTTCTGTTGCATCTGGTCTCATCGGTGGTATCTGATTGTAGGTGAACCTGACCCGACGCTTAGTATTGTTTGTCGTCAACTTTCACCTATAATTCCCCACAATTATAAGGAGAGCAGCTTTCCTGTAGCAGTATTTACTTTCACGGTAAAATTACTGGTCTTATAGCTTTACTAGTCCAGGTTCATAGTACTGTGACCAGGCATCTTTTTCATCCAAAAACTCAAATTTGCTTCAGCTATCAAACTTTGGAAATAAAGAAGCGGAAGTTAGCTTGCTTTTCACTTGGACGGTGCGTTATGAACTTATCTATTATGCCTTTTCATATTAAAAGTTCTAAGTTGTTTGTTATTTCTTATGTTGTACATAAATAATAGTCTTGATCCACTTACAGAATTCCGTGGGTGGAAATTCTGGATCTAGCGGTAATCACTACAATTCAAAAATCACGTAAGAGTAGATAGTGATTTCAGCTCATACTCTCTTATATTTGTTTTTCTTGTATCTCTTTTGACGACACCCATTATTTTTATCTGACATAAAAGGCCATATATAATATCAGGATGAAGGATGGCACACGTGGTGTAGTTTTACATCATAAGTGAGTGACTCTACTTTTTGCTACAAAGCCTACAATCTTATCTATTCTAAGTAAAGCTTTCGAAAGTGTTATATTTTTGATAAGAAAACATGTCGCCTCTACTTCTCTGTTTCTTGTACCTTTTAATATGTAAGCAGACTCTGAAAACACAATGCTTAATTGATTACGATGAGCAAGTAATTGTATGTCAAATCCTATTGCATATTAGCTTACAAGTGTTAGCCGAAAAGAAAAAAGTGTAATCAAAGGTTGATAATCTAAAAAACAAAGTGTTATCGAAAGTTGTTAATTTAAAAAACATTAGAGAAGGTACTCCCTCCAGTTTATTTTATCTGACTGCTTCACTTATGATTTTTGTTCTTAATTTCTATTTATGTAGAATATTAGTGAAATAGCTTGCTAGTTTAACCAATGCATTTTAATATGGATCTTTAAATTCCAATGCAATAACTAAGAAGTCTTATTGTGTGTCCTTCATCTTAAAATTTATGTGAATGATGGTAGTAGACTAGTTGTAAATTTCTGAAATTTCTTAATATAAGCTATTGATGACCATTCCACAATTTTTGTAAATTGGAAAAAATTGCTTTTTTTATATTCTCATCAGTTTTGAAACCTCATGACACAGAACAGCAAATGAAAAGCCCTCCGTTTCATTTGCCATTGCCGCAGAGGACAAAAATGGGTTTCATGTCTCAGTGTGTCCTTGCTTTGTTATTTCTGGCGATTCAGAAGGTATTACGGCGGAGGATATGTGGAAAGAGATGAAAGAGGTTAGTTCCTTATTGATGTGTAACCTTCACCGAAACAGATATTCAGAGGACAAAAGATATAAGCACAATATATTTACTTGGTTCACTAATTAATTAGTTTAATAAAGTAAAGACACTAAGTTTTAGGCCTTGTTCACTTCACCTTATTTGATTTTACTGAATTGAAATTATTTTTGCCGAACTTAAATTATTTTTACTGAATTGAAATTATTTTTGCTGAACTGAAATTATTTTTACTGATTCTCTAAGGCTCCGTTCACGTCACCTTATTTTTGCTGAACTTAAATTATATTTATTGAATTGTAATTAATTTTGCTGAACTTAAATTATTTTTATTGAGCTGAAATTAATTTTACTGAACTGAAATTATTTTTGCTACATTGAAATTATTTTTACTGATTTTTTTTTAATTAAATTTTCTTCTTTAAGTTTACTGATTTTTACTGAAATGATTTTTTTTTTTACTGAATTGAAATTATTTTTGCTAACCTGAACTTGTTTTTAAATGAACTGAAATTAATTTTAGTGAACAAAAATTATTATTACTGAATATTATTTTTTTAAGGTGAAGTGAACAGGGCCTTATATTTCTTTTTTAGAGTTACTGAACTAAAATTATTTTAACTGAACTAAAATTACTTTTACATATTATTATTTATTTAAGGTGAACTAAACAGGGCCTCAATCTCAATACTGCACACAAAATTTGAGTATAGATTGATTAACCCACAAAGATTAAGACTTTTTCACTAATAAAAGCTCACAAATATGCATATGGAGATAGAAATCTTATGTATTCATAGATCATCAAAATTTACTCTTACAAAGCATTTTTCCTCTTGTTTTTGGTGGTTTTTTTTATTCAAATGGAAGAACCTTAGGATTCTATTTGAATAATCAAGATCAATTAGTTAAATACCAAAAGTACAAAAACTGCTGAAAATTTGCAGAATTTCCACAGCAAGCAATGGTCCCCTAAGTGGGTTGAGGTGTTTGTGAAAGCTAAAATTTGAAAATAAAAAAAGAAAAAAAAGAAGTAAATCCCTTAAGCAAAGATAGTCTTACATGTGCCCGAGGCCTGGGCTACCCTTTTATTCCTGCCAGCTTAATTTGTAGCGCTCGTGACTCCATTTTTTGACCAAATTGAGCTTATGATCTTACATTAGAAAGCTCTTAAACTCAATTTTCATTTCAAAGTGGAATTACTGTGAAAGGATTTGTTATTTTGTAACATACCAATTATTGTTGTCTGAAGTTGAGCCCCTCACTAATGACCAATCACATGTGTATGTTTTAACTCTTATAGTCTTACATGTTTACATACATATCCACCATCAAAGGTAATCTTAGGAGACTAAAGTCACCCTTATTAACCAAAGCTACATCATAAAGCCAACTAAATTTATTGTAACTCTTTAGCTCTAAATTACTATGCACAAAATGAACAAAGCAATTATGCCCAACTATGCGCATACTACTTGGACTTAGGTGAATGGATTAAGCCAAATCTACAACATGCACTATGCAAAAGTCTAAGGCTGGTGGGCTATGAAAACCATGAGCTTATGTAGTAGACTAAAGACTGATTGTATGAAACAGGACATTGTAACAGTGAATGCAAGTCGAAAGCTTGACTCAAACAAATTTACAAAACTTACAAAAGGGTAGTAGGTTTAGCCTACAAATCTTTTATTAGCAACTTGAGGCTGTCGCTGTATATTTCCAAATAACTCCATTCCACACACCCCATCAAGGCTAGTCCTCCTTTATATACTGCAGTAATACACTGATACTACAAAAAAGTACTCTTAACATTACTGACTATTTGTCCCTTACTGATCAAGTATTCAGAGCTCAGTTTGTCACTCCTCCTAGTGCTTCATGAATTGCTTCTGTTCTCTTCCCCTTTTGCTGATTCTGCTCTTGTCCTCTTCCCCCTTTTTGGTGATTCTGCTCTTGTCCTCTTCCCCTTCTTGGTGTTTCTGTGCTGCTGCTTGTCCCCCCTGTTGCCTTTGCCTTGTTTCTTTTCTGCCTTCCTGTGTGACCTGTAAGTGTGGCCGAGGTGGTCTCAGGTCACTCCGATCCATCACAGCTTATTGACAAGCAATTAGAATGCAATTAAAATTCAGCAAACAGGGAATTAGTTGAGCTGTTTAACAAGCCCAAGGTACACAAGAAATTTTTGCTTAGAAGCAAACAAATTGAAGCTCATTGAGTTCAAAACCAAAGTGATGAATTCTGTCATAGTTGTTACCTTTGAATCCATGGAGTTTGTAGCATGTGTTTGCCTCTCTTTTCTAATATTCTTGAATAAAACTAATGGGGTGTCTATTGAGTAGTCTGGATTGTATGGGCTCTTTACTACTGTTGTGTGCTGAGTCTCGTTCTCTTGATTTAGCATGGATCCTTTGATAACCTCAACTGTCCAGAGACATCAGCTCCATCAAAGCCATCTTCTTGTATTGGAGCAGCAGTTGCAGCTTCAACTATTGTACCATCAGGATCTACACGTACTGTCACATTTTCATTATCATGGGATTGCCCTGAGGTGACATTTTCAAAAGAAAGAACGTACCACCGGTAAGTGTAAAGACTCATAGGATATCTTTGACTATGATCATGCTTTAGACTTTATCTTATTCTCTACTATGACTGGTTCAGGCGGTATACGAAGTTTTATGGCACTTCTGGTAACACAGCGGCAGATATCGCACATGATGCTATAGTTGGTAAGTAATGTAATTTTGAACATCATGATTGATTGAGTTATCTCAGCTGAGACAATGCTTTTGGTTCCTATCCTATATAGATAATCAGCGTTGGGAGTCTCAAATTGAAGCATGGCAGAGACCTATACTTGAAGACAAGCGATTTCCAGAATGGTGTGTCTGGAACTGCAATTTTGCACTTGTGTTGGGTCTTGTTATTAGTCTGCATTTCTTTTACCATGTGACTTTTTTCTTTTTTATTTGTTTTGTTAGGTATCCCGTTACTCTTTTTAATGAGCTTTATTACCTTAATGCTGGGGGAACTGTGTGGACAGGTTTGAAATTGGCTTTGTGACTTTAATTTTAGTAGTCAGTATTGTTTGGTGATTTTGACTTAAATTATTATATACATTAATTGCAGATGGCTCTCCTCCACTGCAGACTACAGTGACTATAAAGGAAAAAGAATTTCCACTTGAGAAGTCTAACTCTGATTTTGTAAACACTACCACCAATATCACAACACAAAAGGATACGGCTGTAAATATCCTTGAGAAAATGACTTTGATACTTCAGCAAAGGCATATAACAGCTAATTCTAATTCTGCTTTTGGTCCCAATTTGATTTTAGAAGGGGAGGAAAACATTGGTCAATTTCTTTACTATGAAGGCATTGAGTATCACATGTGGAACACATATGATGTTCATTTTTATGCATCGTTTTCTTTGGTGATGCTATTTCCAGAGCTTGAACTTAGCATCCAGAGAGACTTTGCTGCAGCAGTTCTACTGCATGATCCTAGTAAAATGAAACTTCTACATGACGGGAAATGGGCATCAAGGAAAGTTCTTGGTGCTGTTCCACATGATATTGGGCTTAATGACCCATGGTTTGAAGTGAATGCTTACAACCTCCATAACACTGACCGATGGAAAGACTTAAACCCAAAATTTGTTCTCCAGGTTTACAGGGATGTTGTAGCCACAGGTGACAAGAAATTCGCACTAGCTGTTTGGCCTTCTGTTTATGTGGCAATGGCCTATATGGATCAATTTGACAAGGATGGGGATGGTATGATTGAAAATGATGGATTTCCTGATCAGACGTATGACACATGGTCAGTCTCAGGTGTGAGTGCATATTGTGGAGGGCTGTGGGTTGCAGCACTTGAAGCAGCTTCAGCCCTAGCTCGTGAAGTTGGTGATAAGGGCTCACAGGATTATTTTTGGTTTAAATTTCAGAAAGCAAAGGCTGTTTATCTGAAATTATGGAATGGTTCGTATTTCAATTACGACAGCAGTGGTGGTGGTAATAGCGCATCTATCCAAGCTGATCAATTGGCTGGACAATGGTATGCTCTAACTAATTTGTATCTTGAAACATAGATACAGCTCACGAATTAGAGTATTTAGTCTCTGAATGTTCCATTAGAACAGTTGCAGTGGGATTTTCATCTGGACCAACTATCCTTTGGTTTAGAAACCAAGTATCAAGCAAACAACTTTTTTGGATGAATGCTTTTGTTACTTCCCAAAACTGTTTGGGCAGAGTAGAACAAGTTTCCGAATTGGCATGTGTATCCATCATGATAATGACGATGATTCTTTATAATTTGTTTTCTTTTCTTCTTACTTGTAAGAGATGTGTAAATAAAGCTCACTTCTGGTTGCAGGTATGCTCGAGCATGTGGTCTAACACCAATCGTTGACGAGGAAAAGGCAAAATGTGCCCTTGCCAGTATTTTTGAATTTAATGTGATGAAAGTAAAGGAGGGGCGACGAGGGGCTGTCAACGGAATGCTTCCCGATGGAAATGTTGACTTGTCATCAATGCAGTCAAGAGAGATATGGTCTGGTGTTACTTATGCCCTTGCGGCCACCATGATTCAAGAAGGATTACTGGATATGGGTCTTCAGACTGCATATGGTGTTTTTGAAGCCGTTTGGTCACAAAAAGGACTTGGGTGAGTTTTCTTACTGTTGCTTGTTTTTCTCCATATTTGTGTGTCATAATAGACAAAGACTCATCCCACATCATGATATGTTTGATGTTTCCGCAAGTATAAATTTGAAGTCCATATGGGTGCATTTAGAAGGGCGTTAAATAACTGCCTTGCACTTCTAATTGGAATTGTGAACAATGTTGTGTGATTTCTACTATTAGAATAGTGATTGAGGCATTAAATTCTATATGGAGTTATCAAGAAAGGAATTACAAAAATTCAGTTAGTACTACTTTCCTGATGTTGTGAATCTAGTTCCTAGTAAAAAATTTGAATGTAGTAATTGCAATGCTTAAAAAGTTAAAATAGTTGTAAATGCTGAGGGTTGTGGTGCAACTCAATTTTTTTGACTAAGAATGGAGCAATTCTTTGTCATTTTAAAAGAAGAGGTAGGTGACAAATCTCATATACTATTTTAAATATATCCAACAACTCGCCTGAAAAGCCGGATCCAACCACCCTCTTCCATGATTCCCTCCCTTTCCCCGCTTGGTTAATTAAATTCCACCTCTAGGTTGCCGGCAGCCATTGTACCCAGCCACCACCAAACTCAAAACACAGCTACCACTGAACACAATTCGACCACCGAGCGACGATTACAATACCTCCCTCACTCACCATCGGAAATTAGCCAACCCACAGATCCTTCGCAGCCTCGTTTTCTCCCTCCGACCACCACTTTCTCTCTTCTCTGCTTCTGTCCCCTCGTTTTCGTCGCTTCTCTCCGTCGATACCACTCTGCTAGGGTGGATGTGGCTGGGTAGTTGTGGACCTTGTGGTGTTTAGTGATGTAAGTGGGGAAGTAGAAGAGTTCGGCATGGGAGATATCTGGTAGGAGGTTGGGGGTGGCCTTGGGATGGTGGTTGTTCATGGTCTTGGGATTTGTAGGTGGTGGCTTAAGCAGCAAAGGGGGGGGGGGGGTTGTTGTTTCTCAGGCAGCAAGGGGATGGTCATGGTGGTTGACATGGATGAAGGGGGTGAAATGGTTGAGAAATATTAAAGAAATAAAAAATAAAAATATTTAATCTGTAAAACAGGTTGAAGGTATAAAGACTTGTTTTGAGAATATGGGGTGTTAAGGTGGGATTATTAATAGAATACGTAAAGGTGGGATTATTTTGAGAAGATGAGGCAAAAGTGGGATTATTAGTTTCAATTTTTCTTATTTTAGAAAAAAAAAATTATTATGTGTTTTTTGGTAGCAAAATCTAGATCCATTTTCTAAATTAGGCTAAAACTCTCTTCATGTCTAGCATTTGTAGCACTTTTTGTCTTTAGTTGCAGCCTATAAGATTTTCTCTTCACTCCTGTTTCTATCTCTAGATAAAGCAGAGTATTACCTATGATTCTTCTAAATTCTTAGAACCCATAACATTTTGAAGATGAAATGACATCATAAAAGAGACTGAACACACAAGAACCAGTAGATTAGGGTAAATACGAACCTTGTATGAATGAATTTGTGTTGTTCGGTTGACAAAATTATAAGTTATGGAGCCTTTCAAGGTCTTGTTCCCAAAATAACTAGGAAGTTATCCTTAGAATAACATGAAGTTACTGGTTCTTTAAAAGGAAAAATTGTATTAATAATCTCAATAACTACCAAGTTTTGAATGGTCAAATTATGAACTTAAGACATGTTTCACGAGCCTGGCTGCAGTCATGAGCAAGATCTTGCCGTTGTAGCTGTTTCAGGCTTTCAGCAATCAACTGACTAATGAACAGAAGTTTGAAAATATGTTTTCTGTTTTAACCTGTAGGTACTCCTTTCAAACTCCAGAAGCTTGGAATACCAATGATCAGTACAGGTCGCTCTGCTATATGCGCCCGTTGGCTATATGGGCAATTCAATGGGCATTAAGCCGGCCAGAGCCCTCTGAGTCGGAAACACAACCAGAAGTGAACGAAGAATATTTGGCTAGATGTCACTTAGGATTCTCAAAAGTTGCCCGTCTTTTGAAGTTACCAGAAGAGGTAGCTTCCACAGGTCTAGTGCAGGTTCTTTATGATAAAACTTGCAGGAAGATGTGGAATTGATTACATATTATTTTCAGGGATTCATGTTCTTGGTTTTCCCATTATTATTGTATACTTGTATTGCCAGAAGTTTTTCTAGACCATATTCGCTGCAAAAATGAGTACAATTTATTCTCATTGAATAACTTCCGTGATAATAGTAGATTACCATGTTTGGCCATCCTTAATCTCTGAGTTTACGTGATGCTAGGGCCATATTATACAAATGTATGGTGATATTGTGGCCAACATATTTAGTGAAGAAACAAGATTATGCAATCCCAGATTCCCAGCAATGTTTGAGACCGTTAGTGATCAGTATTAAATGGACGAACTCATTTGGACTATGATTAATATGAATTTTATTTGAACAATGTAGTCAGACTGGTTCTAATGACTTAGTTCAAGTGTTTCAAAATTAATCCTTAGGGGTCAAATGAACCCATTTCATATATGAGAAGGAAAATAAATTAGGAAGAAACAGAAGCAATTTAAACCATCCAAATCTAATAATCCTATAATCACAATCATCTCATATCAAAAGCACGAGATCGTCAGCTACAACTATGTACGTCTTCGATTCTTCCGCATCTGGTTATTTTTACCCGCTCCTCCACTCTGTCAATTTTTTTTTGTTTTTTTTAGACAATGGTTACAAAGAAGCTAGGATAAATTACCCATATTTTCTATATTCCGTATCAAGGACATGTGCCTTATGGACATTTCTTCTATCTACCTTAATACACACTACAAAGTCCCTTCTCGGAGTAGCTTGCTTGATGTCTTGTACAACACTTTTAAGTTCTTGCACTGACTTATTTGGATGCTTGAGACTCTGAATGACTACCAGGGCATCTGTCCTAATTACCAGACTAGTATATTGTTCTGGGGCCTCCTTGATTGTTGTTAGAATGGCTAACCCCCCCGCTTGGCTAGGAGTTGAAGCAAAGACCCTCGTGGATCCTCGAAAATTGGTTCTTTGTGGACTTTCAGCAATCCAGGCTATTGTGGCATGCCAGGACCCTACACCCTTCTGATTATCTTTCTTCTAGGACGCGTCTACAGAAATAGAAAGCTTCGGTCTCCTCGTGGCACTCCCTGAACTCCAGATCAATGGTATTTTATGCTGGTTGGATCTCTGAAGCCGAGGGGGGCTGATCACACGCTTGAGGGTTGATGCTGATTTCCACCTTCAGACGTGTACATGTGCCATTTCCAATATAGCCGTTGGGTTGACACTCATGCCTTTAAAAAGAATTTCATTTCTATAAACCCAGATCGACCATAAGATTGAGATGAATCTAGGGATGCCTAATAAATTGTCCTGGCTATCATGGAGTGACAGATAACTAACGAAGTTAGTTACCCATTCTTTGCAAGACAAAAAACATGGGTTAGACGAGAAAATGCCAAAGGGAGAGGAAGCCCAAACTCTTTTAGCGATTTCACATAATCGGAAGAGATGATTTGTATCTTCCTTTTCTACTTTACAAAGGGGGCAGGCTTCCTGTACTAGGATTCCTCTTTTCCGGAGATTGTCATTAGTTGGGATGATGTTCTGGGATATTCTCTAGATGAACCACTTCCATTGAGGCAAGAGATCCAACTTCCAAAATTTCTTCCAAAATAGAGGGTTTTTTAGTGTCCAGGATTGAGTGTTTTTGTTGCTGATTTGGAGCAAGTAGCCTAATCTAAAGCTAAACTCTCCATATTTTTCATGAAGCCAAGAAAATTCATCCTGCTGGTCTTGCTCTGGAATATGAATTGCTAGGATGTTTCTAGCTGTTGCTGCATCGAAGCTTCTCCAAACAATACTTGAGTTCCACTGTCTTGAATTTGTCATCAGGTCTGCTACAACAGCATTCTGTTGAAAGTTGGCAGTGTTTGAAAATTTCACCTTCTCTTTTCCTACCCATATATCCCGAGTAATCGAAGTGGAGCTACCATTTCCAATCCTTTTCCCAATGGCTCCTGCAAAAGATCGGATAGCTCTCAGCATGCTTTTGGCCGCCCATGATCCCTTCTGAACTTGCTTGTTAGACATCCCCAGGGAGATTGGGTCGAAGCCATATCTAAGACTTTGCTAGCTAGGAGGTGGGGGTTCTTATATAGTCTCCATCTATGCTTCATGATGAGACTAGTGTTCACTGCCCTTAATTCTTTCATTTCCAAACCTCCTTCTGCCTTGTGCAAATATAGTACTTCCTTCCTCCTCCAGCACATCCTTTTTTGAGAATCACTTGAGTTCCACCAGAATTTATTAATGGTTGAATTGATCTTACAACCATTTTCTAAAGGCACCAAAAAACTGAAAGGATATGACGAGCTAACGCAACTAGGATTCCATTGATGAGGATAAGTTTACCCAATGGGGATAGAAAGGAGAATTTCCAAGAAGAGATTTTCTGTTTAATTTTATCAAGAATTTCTACAAGCTTTGGAGAAGATTTGCCATCCACATCCATTGGGCAGCCTAGGTAGGTACCCAGTTCCTTGTAACTTTTCATATCAATAGGTTTTCTCAAGATTCTAACAAACCTGGGAGGTGTGTTTGGGCTAAATAGAATAGAGGACTTGTTCGAGTTGACTACCTCTCCTGAGATTAGGCAAAATTCATTGATTACCTCCTCGACAAGTCTACATGAAGATGGTGTAGCCTTGAAACAGAAAAGAGCATCGTCAGCAAAGAACAAATGATTAATGGGAGAAGCCTTGGAAGACAGCTTAATGCCTTGCAGATCATTACTATCTTGCAAAAATTGAAGCCTCCAAGAAAGAACTTCCATCACCAAGATGAATAGGTAGGGTGACAGGGGATCTCCCTTCCTAAGCCCCACTTTTTGGGAGAAAAAAGGGGTTGGCTCTCCATTGACCAAGATTGCATAAGTAACTATTGATACGTATTGCATGATCCTCACTCTCTAAGTAGGGGGAATTTAATCTTTTGGAAAATCCTATCGATGAAGTCCCACCGGACTCTATCATAGGCCTTGCTGAGGTCGATCTTTAATATGCCTTCAAATTGGTTACCTTTCCTTATAGATTTAATTTTATTCAATATCTCATGAGTAATGAAACAATTATCGCTCATTAATCTCCCTGAGACGAAGGCATTTTGGAAGTCACCAATTAGGTCCGAAAGAATTACCTTTAACCTGTTAACCATACACTTCGAAATCACCTCATATAAGGAATTACATAGACTGATGGGCCTAAATTCATCAACCTTCTTTGGATATTTAACCTTAGGGATTAAGGTAATGAAGATCTTATTTAATTCCTTCAATAGGTGACCTGTGGAAAAGAAGTGTTGGACTCCCTTGACTATGTCCTCCTTTATCACATCCCAATTTTCTTGGATGAACATGGGGGGAGTGCCATCCAGGCTCGGAGATTTTAACGGGTGAGGAGCAAAGGTCGCATCTTTAATCTCTGCTTTAGAGAAAGGCTTGTTGAGCCAATCTTTTTGGGCTTGCAAGAGGGTAGGAAGGTCGGAGGACCAGCTTTCCCAAGTTTCCTCAACCTGTTGGGCTTGGCCTTGATCTAGTTGAACTCCTTCAAAAAGCTTTGAGAAGTAGCTGTGGAATTGGGCCTTAATTTTAGCAGACTCCGTAACCCATAGACCGTTCTCAACCTGCAAAGTATAGATTTCCGCCTTTAAGGTTCTTTCCTTTACACTCTTGTAAAAGAAAGAGGTTGTTTGGTCTCCAAATGCATCCTTTTTTAATTTAGCTCTTTGCCTCCAATACCACCATTGTAACGATGCCATCTCTTCTTTTTCCTTTCTTTGAGAAATTTCTTCACTCAGGTCCAAGAGACTATCCTCTGATTGGATCACTTCCAGATCATCCTTAATGCATTTCCAATCCTTTTGAAGTTACAATTTTCTCTTTGTTAAGCACCAGCTTCTTAGGTCCAATCAACAGGTTTTAATCTTTCTTTGTGCTTCAAACAGATGGGAACCTTGAACATCATTAGCCCAAGAAGATGCAACTAAATCATGAACCTCTTTAAGTTTTAAACACCAAGCTTCCATTTTATAAGGACACTTTTTCTTACTTAAAGCTGGATTTACTTCTAGGATCACAGGGGAGTGGTCAGAGAACATGATTGGGAGGTTCCATAATTTAGCATTCAGGAAAATTAACTTCCATTCATTAGAGGCATATTCTCTATCCAGTTGTTAAAAAATCAGATTTTGTATTCTATTATTGCACCATGTGTATTTTAGCCCAACTGAATGGATATTAGTCAATTTATGTTCTATAAGCCAAAAGTTTAAATTTGAAGCACCCCAACTTTTGATCCAATGACTCTAATTGGTTGAAATCACCAATCAGGACCCAACTCCCTATATAATTATGCATGAGATTGCTCAACGTGTCCCAGATTACTTCTCTTTGGGAGGGGTAAGGGAAGCCATAAACACACGCCAAATAATACGAAACATCTCCTACTAGTAATGTATTACAAAGGATGACATTAGGGAGATTGACTACAACGGAAACACTAACCCTATCAGACTAACAAAGGAACAACCCTCCCTTGTTGTTAATAACATCTACTTCCGTAAGCCCTTTAAATCCCTTCTTACTAAAAAATGGGGCCAACGAGAGGAAATTACATTTAGTTTCACTAAGAAAAATAAAACAACCATTAAATCTAGCCGCTATATACGATACCATAGAGATTTTTGGGGAACTTTTGTCACACATCCTCCTCCAGTTCCAACTCATTACACTCATTTTTCCTTCGGAGGCTGTAGGCTAGCCGCACCTTCATCAAAAGACATCATGGTAGGTTTGCTAATTACTTCCTCATCTGAACTCACCATAACCTCTTTGACAGAAACCCTCAGCACCTGAATTCTCACCGGGAGCTTGCCTTCTGCCTCCTCATCTTGGAACTAATTCTCACCGGGAGCTTGCCTTCTGCCTCCACATGTTGGAACTTCTCCCATAAGGCATCTTCATTGCTCAGCCTAAACTTAAACCTCTTACTACAAGCTAAGTACTCGTTCAAACCTCTTTCTAATGCCCTACCCTTACATGCAGAGCATTCTCCACCATCTTTCTCTTTACCTCCCTCCTTTAAATCCTTTGCAACCCCCGACCCCCATTTATTTTTTCTCGGACCTTCCTCGGAAAACCTCCTCCCATTTCTTCTCTTGAATAACATTTCCTTTGTT